CTTCAATGTTCACTTTTATATTTATATTTACATACGCCCTATCTCTGATATTGAGTACGTTATCCCATAAATATAGCACACCATAAAATTATATTTCTTCATTCTTATATATCGGCGACTGACTGTCTGTTTCATGCTTGAACGCGATCTTCAGGCCATTGCGTTCAACTTTGAAATAGACTGTCGACTGGGAGTGAAATAGGCTGAGAAGTGAATTTAGTGAGGAGAAAGGACAATAAAAGAACAGACTACTGAAAGACAGATGATGATGATCGGTGTTGCATTTAAATCGTTGAAGATTGTAGGTTGCCAGAAAGAAAGAAATCGGAAGCGAGTTACACGGAAGAGCTGTATAAGTGGCATGCCGGATCCTAGTTGTGAAAGCCGGAAGTGGTGCAACTAACGAATGTAACGGATCTGAATATTTGCCCTAGAAAAAGTGATAGAGTAACGAGAGGTTCGAAACCTTCCGTGAGTGGGAAATCGGTTGTAGGGTGTACGAAACAGATCCATCACTCACAAGGCCACGTAAACACTGTTACAGAAAAGAAAAGAAAATTAGACCAGCTTCAACTAAACAAAATTCTCGCGATTATTTTGAATGCCAATATTAGTGTCATCCTGCGCATCGTGCAAGATAGGAAGGGATTGATTAGCGTCAGGATTTTCAGCGAAGACATCAAACGTTCGAATCGTTTGTCAACTGACCGTGTCTTTTCTGGGACGAAAGAAAATTGCTGGAGTGAAGATTGGATGCTAATTGTTCCCGAAGGACAATTTAGAATCAGAAGCATATTAACATCCCACGCCTTCAACTGTGGCCCGAGGAAGTGCAGCTGATTGAGTGAGAATGAAGGGAAAGATAGCTAGGGAGAGAGAGAGAGTGTGTGTGTGTGTGTGTGTGTGTGTGTGTGTGTGTGTGTGTGTGTGTGTGTGTGCTCAGTGGAGAATTGATATTTGCATAAGAAAAAGATTTGGTCGAAACAGAAGCAAGCGGAGGCGAGTCTATTGCATTGATCCATTAATAATAAGATTCGTTTCACTCTTGGAATGCCACTACATATATTAATTGGCAAATATTTTCTTGGCGAAGGTATGTCTGTTTGTCGGCCTTAGAGATGTATAGATAAAAATATAAAATAGATATTCATTTAAACAATTTTATAGTCTTCCATATATATATATATATATATATATATATATATATATACATACATACAGAGAGAGAGAAGAGAGAAGCCACAAACGTTTTTGGTTATAATGTGGATTTTTTTTAAATATATATTATACTTTATTTTCCATATTTTCCTACACGTGTTTCGGATCTTACGACCTTCATCAGGCGAAAAGTGGTTATTTCCATATATTATTTAAATGAATTAATTTTTTCTTATGTTTTTCCATGTTTAACCATAGTCTTTTGTGTCTAGTAATAAACCAAATTTTCTTGGACTCCACAAGTCCAAGAAAAAAAAAAGTATATATATAGTACAGGTGATCAATCAGTTGGTATATAATCCAGGTGGATCCTAGTAATATTAATTATTAAAACTGATCCACAGAGAGCTCGATGTATTTATTATAACAGAGCATATGTATGTTTTACAGCCCTCCCCCTCACAAAAAAAATCCCTCAACATAGGGATAGTCTATTTCAAAGAGTTCTTCAACGACTTTCGTCAGCCTCTAAGTGCTTATCTCAGAGCATTGTTTTACATTTATTTTCAAAGTCAGTCTAATTCTAATAGGCGTCTTAATAAGAATGGGTTTGCGTTAGTGATTGTTGGGGGCGTAAGGTATCTTATCCCGGGGGAAGCGGTCTGGGTTTGGAGTTTATTTATGGCCAGTATTTTTGTTTGTAGTTTAATATCAATTCCTACTATGTGGTGTTTCTTCTAACGGCTCCAGAGTGTGTTTTTCTTGGGTAACACAGTAAATAGTTTTGTACTACTAAGCGACGAGGGATTTAAATTCAAGTCCGTTAAGATTAATGTCAATTAATTAGTTGAGTTATAGATTTATAGATTGTGGATAATACCGGACCCCCCCAATGGAATAACTCGTGCTGTCCAACACCCTTATATGCGTTCATATCTTTATACAGTGTAACCCGGATAAAGAGACCCGGATATAAGAGAGATTTTCTCTGGTCCCAAATTAGAGCCTGTGTTAATGCATATAAAATAGACCAAACCCGGATATAAGAGAAACCCGGATATAAGAGACTTCTTCTCCGGTCCCGACAACTCTCTTATATCCGGGTTACACTGTACATACATATATGTGTACATTTACATGATCATACATATATGCCACCATACGTACACGTACACGCTCACATATATGCGTCTGTATTCTTATGTAATTGGGAATTTAACCGTATCTTTATATTTCGTGATTAGTTCTCTCTGCTGATTTAATTGTTTTCATTGATCTTAATATTTTGTTATCCTGATTTTTTTTCTTCTAAACATAGCTTGCACCTATCCGTAAACATATTGGGGGTGTTCCTAGAATTTTCCAATTTATTTGAGGATTCAGACCCTTTTCCTTCAACTACTAGAATTTTTTCGACAGAGCTGTTTGGTGTTTTAATTTGGGATTGGTGAATGAATGTCTGTGTGTATTGATTCTCTTTTTAAGATCACCTGCCTATATATAGTTAAACCTAGAGAGCCAGACAAACCTACCAAGGCTGGCTCCCTGACGATCCACTTAGGTGAAACCTTGGTAGGTTTGTCTGGCTCTCGGGGTTTAACTAGGTCTGCTCTACTCATTGTATTGAGCACTTTATTTAGTTATTTTGGATTACTCGCATCGGGGTTTTTTTCGGGGGCTTTGGACTTGCCTATTTTCGGCTAACGTACATGTTCTTGGTTCTTTCTTTTTTTTTATACCTTTTTTCCCGTTTGGTATTGGCTTGTTTATTTGAAAATCAAGACACTGAAGGTTTTCCGAGCGAGTATAGTTTCTTATACTTATAAGATTTCTATTAATAATATATATATATATATATATATATATATATGTGTGTGTGTGTGTGTGTGTGTGTGTGTGTGTGTGTGTGTGTGTGTCACGTTTTTGTTAATTTAACACAATTATTTCGAATGTATCAGCTCGTATTTTCAGTAGAGTAAGTGGATATTGAAATAAATACTTCAATCTGGTAAATACTTCTTCTTTATGGGCAGTGTTCCCTCAGTACGTAGGTGATCATGACTCTCCGCAACTTTCTTTTCCTTGTAGCTCTTTATAAATTGTGTCTGTTTTTTCTATTAAACCGCGTGGGGCGGTTGGTAGATATCCTGCAGTTGGAGATACATTGTTAAATTCACTTGACTGACTTGTAACAGTTGACTACTTCTACGGTATACTGGCGAATCTTATATGTGTTGTTCTTGTTCTAAGTATTATCGTTTATTACCAAGCTCCGTGTGATTAATCTATTCAGTAACATTCCTTAAGTTACAACACTTAGCTAAATAATACTTATTCTAATAATTATAACCGTCCTGGGTATGACGATAAACTACATCCGTGTCCAGGGTAAGACGATAAACTACGTCCATCAGCAAGGCCTCTGAGCAGGTTTTGAGGAGCATGGGACCACCTCTTAATTGCTGGTGTGCTGGGCAAATAGTTAACCCCGAAACTGAGATAAAAAGCATTATGAAAGTGTAAAATTAGGTTTTAATACCAGAAAAACTTTGTAAAAAATTATTACCAGAAATACATTTTTGAAGCATAAAAAAACTATTACCAGCAATACATTTTTTAAAGATAATATTAGCAGCTATACATTTTCGAGGAAAAAATATTGCCAGAAATAGATTTTTGACAAAACCAAATATTACCAGGAAAAAAAAAGTTGTCTGCATTAAATGACCCATTGAAGTTGATATGCCGTAAACGAAACGAAACGAAACCAATCTAATAATTATAAGAGTAGAAAGAAGGCGAGGAATTGCATTAAAAGGATCTGCAAGTCTTAGACTGTTCGATGACTAATGAAGTTGCGTAACGTCTATCAGCGCCAACTCATGACCAACCAAAATGCAGAATTTTTATTAATGAACTTTTCGGTTAACAGGACTAACCCATTGGAAAGACAGGCGCTAAACTTATTAAATATAAACAGAAATAAGAACCATCTTTTCTTCATGAGGTGCCAACCAATTTGTCACGAGGTCATTTAGTAGCGAAGACTATTCATCTCCAGTTTCTGTTGAAATTGGTTCACACTTCGTAGTTTAAACAATATTCGGATTAGTATAGCCACCTGAAAGCATTGACATTTCAGTGAAAGAAAAAAAAACAACTTCATAGGTAAGGACAAGTAATGAGTTGCATTTTCGCTGAGTTCCCCATACAAAATTTCGACATTAATTAACTCCAAAAACGTTGACATATCGTAAACTCACCAACTGATATATCATTTCCTATGACATAAAAGGAAAATTTCCTCGACAAACTTATGATGCCCGCTGTTATTGCTTCTCCTGTCAGAATCAATGGTTGCGCTCACAATGTGGTTCTAAGCTTTGAACGTCTACTGAGACTCAGGTTCACTCCAGGCCAAAACTTGTGGGTAATCGCTTGGAAATACCAAGTGATGTAAGCTTTGATGTGCGGGTGGTGTTAGGGATAAGGGCTCAGAATGAGCAATCGGACAGCTGAGTTCGAATTCCAGTCGGGTTCGTTACAGTCGCTTACGCGCAAATACCGTTGGCGAAGGTATGAATCACCAAGCTATGGGTTAAATAGTAGAATATATGTCATGAAAATAAGTCATTGTAATTCTAAAAAAAAAATGTTAATGTAATATTCACAGGCGCAAAAATAATTATACTTAAATCCAAAATATGTTTCAGCTTTAAATAACACACAAAGGGTTGATAAGCCGTAAAAATCCAAACGCTCAATCGAAAGCAGACCTGAACTCATTCATAAGAATGATGCTGGAAAAACGCATCTGCTCAAATCAACCGAACCAGAAAATCTTACGGCCATATCACGTCAAAACATCGGTTCCTGTGTGATCATTGAAGTTAAGCAATGTCGAGCCAGGTCACTACTTAGATATGTGACCGCCAGGGCATACCAGGTGCTGTTAGCATGGATGTGCGGGTGGTGTAAAGGATAATGCCTCGGAATTGTTAATCGCAGAGTCGAGTTCCAATTCCAGTTGGGATCGTCACATTCACTTACGCACAAATACCCTTAGGAAAAGATATGTCACCCCCTCTTCTTCCTTCCCACCTATGGGTTAATTAGTATGACTAGTATCACTATAGCATTATTATCTCCAAAAGAAATTTTTACAATCTAAAATTATTTTCTGCATTCATTCAATCAAATATGCTACACGGGCATGTCTTTTTTATTTATTTGCCTTCTAGGAATATAAAAGTATAAAAACTACCGTGACCACAAAATGAGAGATCATTTTATATGCTCATTAAAATATAGAATTGATTCCCCACTTTATATTCACATAATTTCTTGTTTGTTTATCAAATTCTGATTAGGTATGAATCCACCTCTCCCCCCAGCTATGGGTTAATTAGTAGGACGGGTATCAATAAATCATTATTATCTCCAAAAATAAAATACTTGTTACAATCTAAAAATATTATCTGGCTTTAAATAACCTGAAAAGTGTTGGTAAGCCGTAAAAAACGAATCAAAAACCCCCGCTCCATGAAGCACCTGACGTCTTTTGACATTCTTTATTTTTATACGTGTCAGATTGGAGGAAAAACGTGGCATTGTTGGCACGTCTGATCTGGAACTGCCCAATCCACTTTTTCCAGCATTGGTATAGCTTAAAGTCGTTCACGTGGTCTTGTAGAGAATGACTTATTTTCCACTCTACAGTCTCTTTCCCCAGAGACGCAAAGTCACAAATCCATCGCGACTTTTTTGTGCTATTTCCATCGCATATGTTCAGATGAACCCCATTCTTTGCTTTCCCTTGTTCAGACCCTTGTAAGTAAAACTCGCTATACCACGTCCACGGAGTCAAATCACCCTCATTTCCTCCGTTTGAAAGGAGGAAGTTCTACTCGCGTAACCTTTTTTCCGAGAACTGTCACCTTGTGGAATAAAGCCCCTTGTGGTTCCTTACCTACAGCCTACAAACTTAACCTCTTCTAATCAAGTCAGTCTTTGCTATTTATTTCCTTTTACATTCTCATCACACACCTTATTCAGTAACTGCCTCTTGACTCTTGTGCGTTGTATTAATTGAAACTTATTAAAAATATATATCCCATAGAAACTTCAAATCCGAATTTAACATTCATAAGTTCATTGACTTATAAATTATTATGATAAATTTTGGTTTTGCGTAAAGGTCTTTTGTATTGTGCACAACAAATAGAATTTACTGCCTCTATTCAAAATGGGAGTAACATTTGTTGGCAACCTATTGTTCTTGCTCCATTGTCTTCAAGAGGTGATTTATTCCTTAAATCTATTGAAGAATTCAAACAGATCTTTTCATTGTCTTGTCAGCAAAACAACTGCACCAATCAGAGAGATCTCTCCTCAACATTCTCTATAAGATTGTAAGTCAAGATTGGCCGATAAAGGAAATGAATTCAGGGCAATTGTACTGTTACCATTAATCATCTAAGAATAAATATATTGGCACTGACAATCCGTGTCTTTTGCCATTGTTTACCGATTTGACTCCAGTGTTCATAGGCTGACCAAGATACTAAAGATCACATTCCATGACCAAAAATGATATAAAAATCTATTCTTTTTGTTCATCTAATATCTTTTTTTGTAAATTAACTTATTAATCTTAGAATTGATTATGGCTTAGGTTGATGAAGTTTACGACATATCAATCTTTATATTTATAATTCTCAAAATGTGTGTGTATGTATATCTTTCTATGTGTGTGTGTGTGTGTGTGTGTGTGTGTATGTGCGTGTATGTGTGTGTGTGTGTGTGTGATCGTATGCTGTTTATGCATTTCCAGTTTTCATCCGATTTTGATGAAATTTTTTTGTTTGATAGATAATTCTTCAGTGCCGGTTTTGACCCCAAATTGTTGGCGACAATGGCTCTCCACTACTTCCTGTCCATTATAACTCTCAGTAACGTTTTACTATTTACTATCTGTTCTTGGATATATATCTTTCATAAAACTTTAATGAAAATAAATAGTTTAAATTACCACAATAATATTATTATTATACAGTTAAATTTATATAATTAATTATATATATATATCTATAATTCTCAAAATGTGTGTGTGTGTGTGTGTGTGTGTGTGTGTGTGTGTGTGATCGGATGTTGTTAATGCGTTTCCACAGTTTTCATCCGAAATTTTTTTGTTTGATAGATAATTCTTCAGTGCCAGTTTTGAATCCAATGGCTCTCCACTACGTCCTGTCCATTATAACTTTCAGCAACTTTTTTACTATTTACTATCTGTTCTTGCATATATCTCCTTCATGAAAACTTTAATAAAAATAAATAGTGCAAATATTATTATTATGCAGTTCCTTTTCTAGGGCCACCCCCCCCACCACCACCATTCAAATTGTTAACCCTCCCAATTGGGATGTGCCTCAGTAGTACCCACTTTAAACTTAAACTGCTCCAATTGAACGGCAAAGATTCCCAATAATGAAAGACCCGGGCAAAGACAGGTTATACTGCTAGTCCTAGATAATTTAATGTCTAATTAGGTTTTATTTTACATAAGTCTGCAAGCTACTTTTATTTTACTTAAGGTGCATGAAAGTTTAGAGACGATGAAGGTCAGTGGTTAGAGCAACAGAATTTGAGCATCTTTTCCTCTGGCCGTGACTCAATGTTCAATATTCTGTAAATAGCGTGCGTTTAACATTGTACATGAATCATGCGAGGCGAATTCTGCTTTGCGAATGAAGAAAAATGACGAGACCGAAATGATATATTTCTTCCACAACGAGATTTCAGAACAGCGAAACTCTGCATTTTTCCCTTTCTTTTTACAAACAACAATGAATCTCTTTATTCGCTTGTAATTGATGCATAACTGGTGTCGTCGTGAATATTTCCTTCCTACGCTTATTTCATGGAGAGCTTCTCTCGCTGTTAAAAGTGCCATAAGATGCCCGGACTCCAGCGCATCGTTCCAGACTAACTGAATCACGAGTGAACTTTAGTTCCTGGCAACATCATGCACTTTCCAACGTGAAATGGGACTATTCTCAATAAAGGCTCCTTCCTTCCTTACAAAAGCGATCCTAATTATCATTTTCTTCTATCGACGACGACATATTTTAAATTTCGATTGTAACTTCCACTGCCTAACCTACCAAAATGTAAGGTATTTTATAAAATTCATTTTATTAATTTAATAGAACAGTATCCGTCAAATATATGTCAACATGAATGACTTTGGTGGCTATACCCTTTTCCTGTAGGTACTTGATAACACCACGTTGGCAAATTCTGTCCATTTTCAAGTGATGTTGCTACTAAAGGATGTTCCAATAATTTGTACCGATTTTAAATGCGAATTAACATTGAGCGTCTAATCATTTTTTTATTCTTTTTCTTTCAGATTTAACAACTTAAGTTTTTGGCAATTTCAACCATGGAAAGATTAACAATCAAACAACGTGTTAAATTTATCGAAGTCTATCACGAAAATGGACGTTCAAACAGAAATGCATTTCGCGCACTTCACGATATTTTGGCTAACATAATCGACCAACCGAGAGTGCAATTGGAAACGATGTAACGTTGATGTGGAGAGGTTCAATTCCTGCGCGCAGTGACGATAGAGGTGTCTGGATTTTCGGCCACATTCTCGTGCCCTGCAGCAATGTTTTCAGCTGAACAGCGTAAACGTGCACGCAATGGTGTTTTCACATCTGCCACCGACCCAGTTTGTTAGAAGTTACGAAACTTTAACACGTTGTTTGATTGTTAATCTTTCCATGGTTGAAATTGCCAAAGGCTTAAGTTTTTAAATATGAAAGGAAAAAAAAAAATAATCATTAAACGCTTGAACTTAATTCACATTTAAAATCGGTCCAAGTTATTGGAACACCCTATAATTAGTTTTGAATTCTTCTTTGAACAGTCAGATGTCAGTTTACCTGGAAGAAAACAATTCGGTTATTAATAAGAATAGTTGAAATTAATGTAAGCAAGATTTCACAGCTCTAGCGTCACTCCTTCATTGCCAGCCTATGAACATTTCACCCAGCCTCCTATACGAGAATGGAAATCAATGAACAAGCTAAGCTTAGTTGGAAGTAATAAAATATGTTACAAATAATATTAAATTTAAAACAGAAAAAAAAGCTAATAAAACCATGAATGAAATACTGATGAAGGTTACAGAATGTATAAGGTTATATTAACATGCAAAATAATAAAATAATAGGCTCCCCCGTAGAGAGGAATACCATCTGAATCAGGACATTTAATGATCCAATATTTCTATAATATATTGTCCAAAAGAAATATAGCCCACTGGATTAATGCTCCACGAGTTCAATTACTGGCTATGGTAGCATGTTGGAAAGAAACGGACAAGAGTGCTGCTGCCAGATTTCGGTGGGAAGTGTGGAGTCTTCACATTCCGGTACCGATATAGCCCAAAAGCGTCTCCGTGTCCTTGTGGGTAATGAATTACTTTCCACCTTACAACCCCTTTCCCACAGACGAAACGTCGCAAGCCAGCTGCTATTTCCATTGACAGTTTTCAGATAAGATATATTCCTTAGATCCTCCAGTTCTAATCTTTAAGGTTAGGATCCGCCAGGCCACGCACATTGTAGTGAACCAACCTCATTTTCCTCCGTATTTTCATTAGCGAGATGTAACTTCCACTCGAACATCCTCTTCCTACGAAAGGCTGCTTTGTGGAGCCGACTCCTACGAAGGTGCTTTCTCGATCACTACAATCTTAATCTGTTGAAGTCTAGTCTCAACCGTTATCCTTCTCGCATTTGTCCCATAAACTGTGTCTCTTACTCTGTAAAACTCTACCTTGTGTGGCTCCTGAGTCTTGTACAGATTGAACATCATTGCAAAAAGAAATTAGGCGCTATATATTTGTTTATAGCTCTGCAGCTTTGCACATAATTATGTACA